CAGTAGGAACAATAAATATGCATACCTGAACCATAGCCTCCCACTGCTGGAGGGTAGTTACCAGGAGGYGGTGCACCATAACCTCCTGTCGCCGGTGGATATCCTCCCCCTGAGGGTGGGTAGCCACCTGTTGTTGGTGGGTAACCACCTGGTGGTGGGTAGCCTCCAGGAGGTGGGTAGCCTCCAGGRGCAGGTGGGTAGCCTCCGGGTGCTGGTGGATAGCCTTGTGCAGGTGGATAGCCTCCTGGTGCTGGTGGGTAGCCCCCTGTTGGGGGGTAACCGGCATTRTCTGGGGGGTAGCCAGGTGCACCTGACGGATAACCTGGTGCCCCTGGGGGATAACCTGGCTGTTGAAAAGAATATTTTTGTAAATTGRTATTCCTGGTTTTCAAGAGAAAGTAAGAAAAAGAAAATTCTGGACACTAGAGTCATCCTTAGGAACCCAGGGGTAATCTTTTGTCATTCGTTCCTCACTCCCAGAAAAAATACCCAGTGAGGAACGAATGGCAGATGATTATCCCTGGGTTCCCAAGGATGACACTGAGTTGACTCCAAGACTCAGAATGGTGTGACATACATAGGACAATTAATTTCATTAAACCACAATTTGAACAACAAGTAATTGCCGGATTTCAAGCCGAGTGGGGACTGGATAAAATTGGATAGTCATGACATAAGACTTACATAGAAAGAAAGTTCTTGTTGAGAAATGCAATTCCCAAATTTGATGTAAATCAGTTCAATAGTGAACGAGTTACAGCATTTCAAACATTCTAAAATTTCCAGAGAAATGTATGTGATCTCGTGAATGTGTTCCGAAAATGGTCAAAATGCGGACACATTCACGGCTTCCCATACATTTCTTTGTAAATTTTAGAATATTTGAAAGGCCGTAACTCGTTCAATATTGAACTGATTGACGCCAGATTTTTTCTATGTAAGTCTTATCTCGTGATTATCCAATTAGGGGATTTTGCCCAGTCCCCACTCAGCTTGAAATCCGGCAATGCTCTAAATTACATGACTGTACTAACAGTAGATGTACAAACAAAATGTACTTACGCCTGATGGGGGATATCCTGGTCCGCCGTATGGATAAGCCATGCTGTACACCCTGTATTGACTATGAGAAAAATATTAATATTATTGAATAAAAGCAGCCTTTGTAATGAAAACAAAATATTTMACTTTTGATTGAGGAAAGTCATCAATAATTATATTATGTATAATCTTTTTATTACTATGTTGTATTACTTCTTCTTTTAATATACAAAATTATTGTTAAATGTCAAAAATTTAAATTATTATACTTTATTATATCTTTATTACTGTATTTCACATCTTCTTCTCTAAATATACAAATGTTAAATTATTTCTTTATGTAAATAGGCTGTATAATATAATTACTATTCTTTGCGTGGTGGGGGCCAGCTCGAAAGCGCTGATACTCTGGCCCTCACGCACTACCCATTTAGTGTCTAAAGTAACGATTTCTGTTTATCCTTTTCCTTTTCATTATACGAAATTATAAACAAGAAATAATTGAAAAAGAAAAGTGCAATAAACTGAACTGCACTGAACTGAACTGGAGGTCCTACAAATACTAGTGCTTACTATATGCAAATAAGAGTGGTGGATTGTGGGACGACATTGCCAGATTTGCAATCCAGGCCTTTGTGAGCCAGGTAGCACCGCTCGGAACGGGTCTCATGATAGGTTGAGAAAACAATGGACAAACAATAGATAAGTCTTCCAACAATATAACAAAACCTAACCTAACAATAGTGGTGCTGTACTTAAGGAGCAATCAAAAAGCAGGTTTCAATTGGTACTGCATTACTGGCCTTTGTGATTAAAATCAAAGTCAGACTCACTCTAACCAATGCATACAACACTACAAACCCCAACGTCTATTTTAAGACATTCATATTTCTTTATGGATTTCTTGTGTCGATGCCTAGATATTGGTAACCATGTTTATTTGAAGCAAACTTCATGARTTTGTTTTGCTTTTATCAGTCTATTAGTAATTTCAATGCATTGAAAATGACTATTTATTTAAAATGTGTAGGTAAAGGACAAAAGAAACAATAGATTCAGAGAGTGAAACCCCAGCTAGTAGTCTCCAGTCAGTAATCTTTCACRGTCAAATGAAAATGATTGTTTGAGATTTGATGATCTCTTTGCACGGTGCTGGCAGAGAGATCTTTGTTTATTATTCACTAAAAGATCTCTAGATTGACTAGTTCTACAGTAGACAGCTCCTTCCACGGTAGTCTCCTTTGCAGCCTACACTTTTGCCAGGCACCCTGTCCCTCCCAAAGTAAAGGCTGCAAAGGAGTCTACCAACATGGTTCTTTTAGTCAAATATTTTTTATGAATTATCTTCAGCGTGATGAATGTGCTAAAAAAATAAGCAGGGTTGATTCAATCAAGTATTTTGAATCGAAAATAAGTTAATTTTATAAGTAAATATAACAAGTGCTTGGTATTCCCTACATGGAGACATTTACATATAATTTAGTATACTTTAGGTTATATTAGCAAATTATGTGGCTTTTTTATATTTATAAAGTTTAGTAGGTGTGTCGATAAAATGTAAGCTAAATAAATTTACGAATTCCTAATGTAAACAATCGAAAGTACAATCAATTTTAATTTTTAAACAATTCACATTCGAGAGGGATGCTAAACTTAAGAAAAATCGCTGGATTTTTTCATTACGAAAATTTTCGTAAACGAAGTTGCAGTATAAGATAAACACTTTCAAAATATGAATTGTGTCAGACAGTAAATCKCATGTTTGCAATTGAAAGCTAAAGCTAACGTTGTCAGAGCTAATTATGGTGCATCGATATTATCATCACCAGGAATTATATCTAAGAAAGTGTCAAAAAGGTCTTCCAATCACAAACAATTAAGTTAAAACATTTGTTCGAATAAAGACCATAATATTGCATCGTCGTTTGAGAAATTTAGGGGGAAAAAGAATGCAAATAATACCATAAAAGCTCAACCAAACAGCAACAAGGTTTAGTGGTCTGACAGGTTGAAGTAAGCACCTTCGAAAACTTAGCTAAAAGCCCAAGGAAATCTTTGCATAAAATTTTCTTATGCAAAATGTAGAATCAAAATAAGCTGAAGAAAACATCATTAGTTTTAAAACGAAGCAAAAACTTACCGATTCCTTGATAACTAAAGCAAGTATGCAGCAAAACAACAAACGCCGATGAGGCTGAACACCAGGAACCTTATCATGTATACCAAATATGGTCCTTGATGTCATCGTGGGAGGCCGGGGAGGGCTGGTGAGGATTACGAAGGTTCCAGGTTTTTCTATAAATTTGTCCTTTCTGTTCTGCAGTTTTATTTTTGCGTTTTTATGCAACTTCTGGAAGGATGAAAAAGTATTTCAGATGCAGTAAATAGTTTTATTTCATATCATTATTGTAAAACTTAAAATGTGAATGAAAAAATGTAACTTTAAACATCGAATTTTGGACATCTGGAACAATATCCTTTTTCCATAGGATTTTATTACTATCAAATTATTCTTTTCAGTTTTTAAGCTTTTTCATTATTTCCAGTTTTTCAATCATTTTCGATCATTTTGCACCTACAAATACAGTCCCCTAATCCCAGATTAGGTCCCTCGAAGGAGTGACCCGTATCAAGCCACATATGGTGTTTATGACCKTATTTGGAATATTTCGTAATGCGATGCGCCGGYCCAGTTTGACGTTAGTTTGCGGCGCGGCGGCCATAAGTCGATGTATCTTCCTGGACTACTAACCTAAGCACAGTTAGCGTGAATTTTACCGGACCTCAGGACATATTTAACGTTGAAGACCTAGATAAATCCAAATTTGAATCACCAAAGCACATTTCTKYAGTTTTATTTTGGCATTAGCAGAATATGGTTGACGATAAAACGACGGCTAAAGATTTGGAGCAATGGATAGAACAGCTTATGGAATGCAAACAACTCACAGAGGCACAAGTAAAAACTCTTTGCGAAAAGGTATTGTGRTGTACTTCTTTTATAAAAAACACAAAAAATAGTACGGCGTTGGAGTGCTTAATCGAACTTTGATTGTGGTCGTTTTGCTGAAGTTCTTGAGCAATAATTTGGTTGTTTAAACACGCATGGTAACTTACATTTTGTACATTTTCTCCAAAGCATGATCTAACTTCTCTCGGCATTTTAGGAAAATATAACTTCAGTTCTCGAATTATAGAACTTCATTCTTCAATTTTTATTATTATTTCATAATAGAAGCCGTATGCAATCTTGTAATTCGAAAGAATTTAACTTCGAAATACCTTATTGGATAAAGCAAAATTTTGACTTRGGTCATGAATTTGATCAAATCRRCAATCTCAGCAATACCATTTCCTCTTTTGGAAAGTTTAACTTACAATGCACAGTACAAGGTACAATATTTATTCTGTTACAATAATGAGAACTTGACGATTTTCACAGCATAAATATTGTCTTTTAGAGGTCTACTTGTCTGCAATAAGAAATGTACAAATTTCAAAACTTTTTAATGGTATTTCATTGGAAACTGGTCTTCAAAACCCTTAATGAAGAATTGGATGGACATCAACTATCTGCATTGCCACGACAGAATTTAGTTCAATAGCTCTGCCTAGATAATGCAACTACAAATAATTTTTCGCAAGATGGTGAGGAGCGGGAAACCACCAAGAGAATTTTACATTTTTAGATTTTGAAATGTCAATTTTCTCCCCTTGGGTCACAGTTTAGAGTCAAAGACCATCACTGGGGATCAAAAATCTTACAAATAAATGGTGTCTGAGTCAAAAGTGATACCTAAGGACTTAGGGGAAATATTTATTAATGTCAAACTCCTCACTTTGGCAGAGCATTAAGAAGATAAATTGGAATTCAGCCAATTAGAGTGCGCGTTATATCCCAGAAAAATCAAATATAAAATGCAATAGTAGCCGACTTCAGATATTTTGGTCCAGTGACCATGCACAAAAGAGTTGCATACGAGGCTCCAGGGAAATAAAAGAATAAATCAAGAATATCCATAGTTTTCCCGTAGCCTCGTGTACGTTCTTTTGTACATAGTCATCGAACCAAAATATCCAAAGTTATTAATTCTGATAGAAACATGAATAACTGCTTTTAGGCCAAGGAGATCCTCAGCAAAGAATCCAACGTCCAAGATGTCAAGTGTCCAGTCACAGTATGCGGAGATGTCCATGGACAGTTTCATGACTTAATGGAGCTCTTTAGAATAGGAGGGAAGTCGCCAGATACAAATTACCTTTTTATGGGAGATTACGTAGATAGAGGATACTACTCAGTGGAAACAGTCACTCTCCTTGTTACATTAAAGGTAAGATAATAAGGACACTTTATGGAAGAATTTTGGCTAAGTGTATGCAAGGAATTTTGGTCGACAAGCACAAAATCAAAAAAGTTGGGTGCATGGTTCGTGCTACTCCTTGAAGTCCTTGAAAAGTCCTGGAATTGAAAACTAGTTTTTAAAGTGCTACTTGAATGAAAATGGCCTTATTTCAAAACTTCAAGTAATGCAAATATATGACTCATTTATATCTATTAAAAACAATTGCAGGAAAATATTTGTCTTGGGATTATCCCACATCAGAGAAATTTTGATTCAAATGATGGAAGAACAAAAGAATTGAGTAGATGACGTCATCTACTCCAACATTTTTTGCCCAAATTATTAAGGATTTGCATGAATATTTTCTTGAAATCTGTTGCTTCATGATTATTAGACCCATATGGATAGGTCTATTTGATTTCCAAGTCTTTTCTAATGTTT